TCCGCCGAATACTTACGGTCGCCCGCGCGGGAGCCTGCACCCCGCGGGGCCGGCCGCCGCCTCTGCTCTGGAATTCCTGTGGGGACCCCCGAGCGTCCCTTCCCCCGCCCGCCCAAGTCTGAGACCACTGGCCGACGCCCCCTGCTTGGGGCGGAACCCGAGCTGCGCAGGTTCCTGGCGCCGGGCTGGCTGCCCCCCCCTCCAGATCCCGCAACCGCAGCGCCCCTGCGCAGCGCCCAGCCGAAGCCCCCTTCCAGGCCCAGGCGTCCCCCTCCCACGGGGACTCCGTCTCTATTTTGGGGAAAGGGGAGGCTCAGCGGAAGCCCCGAGTTATAATTAGCCTCACTCGGGTTTCCTAGTTAATCTCCAGCACCACCACCACCACCCCCCAGCCGCAGGGCGGCGGGTGTTGGCTGGGTGAGAGGTGACCGCCGGGAGAGGGGGGGAGTTCCGACCCGGGGAATTTTGATCCCTTGGCTGGAGATGCCGGAACCGCAGCAGCTGCTGCCCCAAAATAGCCCCCTCGCCCCTGCAGCCGGGGATCTCCGGAGCTCCGAGAAGACAGGCGTCCGGGTTCGCCCTTCAGACCCCTCCGCAAGGCCCGCGAGCCTCCAGACCCCCGCCCCAAGTTCCCGGCTCCCGGACTCGGGGCGGGGAGCGCCGTCCTTTTCTCGGTCTCTACTGCCCCCCACTGGCGGCAGCGTGCCCCTCCGCATCGGATGGATGGGGGACTCGAGTCCTGGGGGGGACGGGGCTGACGAGCCTGTTCCCTGAGGCTGGGCGAGGCGAGTGCGCAGCTGACCGGCACCCACGGGTACCCCGTGCCGGACAGTGGATGAGGAAGGGCAGGGTGGGGCAGGGTGTGGAGTAAGCGGGATTTGGGGTGCCCCGGGACCTGCAGCTCCCACACCCTTGAATGCCCAACCCACCCCCCAGGGTCCCCGACCCTGGCCAACGCCAGAGAGCCTGCGCCTTCACGCCACCGCAAGCTTCCCCATCAGCGCCTCCCGTCAGTGAGGGCCCCGCCCCTGTCGGGTGGCCTGTGTGTGGACTGCGATCTCTGGTGTGGGTGCCCACACTGCTCACGCCGGGCCCAACGCAGTCCACCCCGTTGGGGGAAGGAGGTGAGGGTGGTGGGCCCTCTGTGGGGCAGCTTCGGGAAGGTATTGCCCCCATCTCTGGCCTCATCTGGGTTCCCTGCGTTCATCTGTCTGGGTGTTGTGTCTGTGTGCCTGTCTCTGTTCCCTCTTGCTTCTCCCTGTCTGTGTCCTTGTCTCTGCCTGTCTCTCTCCATTTCTCTCCCAACCTGCCCCACCTCCTCTGCAGCTCAGTGATAACCCCTGGGCAAGAGTGTTACCTAATCTCCTTGCTCCTGGCAGCCTCCGGCCTTCACCCTCTGCCTTTCTTTCTCCCAGCAGAGCCTGCCTGCCCTGGCAGCCATGAGGCCCCCCTGGTGTCCCCTGTACACGCCCTCCCTGGCTGCCCCAATCCTTCTCCTCCTCCTCTTCCTCCTGGGAGGAGGGGCAGAGGCTGAGGACCCAGAGCTGCTGGTGACGGTCCGTGGGGGCCAGCTGCGGGGCATCCGCCTAATGGCCCCTGGAGGCCCTGTCTCTGCTTTTCTGGGCATCCCCTTCGCAGAGCCACCTGTGGGCCCCCGTCGCTTTCTGCCACCGGAGCCCAAGCGGCCCTGGCCAGGGGTGCTGGACGCCACAGCTTTCCAAAGTGTCTGCTACCAATATGTGGACACCTTGTACCCTGGCTTCGAGGGCACCGAGATGTGGAACCCCAACCGCGAGCTGAGTGAGGACTGTCTCTACCTCAACGTATGGACACCATACCCCCGGCCTGCGTCCCCCACCCCTGTCCTCGTCTGGATCTACGGGGGTGGCTTCTACAGTGGGGCCTCCTCCCTGGACGTGTATGATGGCCGCTTCCTGGCCCAGGCTGAGGGGACCGTGCTGGTGTCCATGAACTACCGGGTAGGAGCCTTTGGCTTCTTGGCCCTACCAGGGAGCCGGGAGGCCCCAGGCAACGTGGGTCTACTGGACCAGAGGCTGGCACTGCAGTGGGTACAGGACAACGTGGCAACCTTCGGAGGAGACCCAATGTCAGTGACTCTGTTTGGGGAAAGCGCCGGTGCCGCCTCAGTGGGCATGCACCTGCTGTCGCCTCCCAGCCGGGGCCTGTTCCACAGGGCTGTGCTGCAGAGCGGTGCACCCAATGGCCCCTGGGCCACAGTGGGTGTGGGAGAGGCCCGTCGCAGGGCCACACTGCTGGCACGCCTCGTAGGCTGTCCCCCAGGCGGTGCCGGTGGCAATGACACAGAGCTGGTCGCCTGCCTGAGGACACGGCCAGCTCAGGATCTGGTGGACCACGAGTGGCACGTGCTGCCTCAGGAAAGTGTCTTCCGCTTCTCCTTCGTGCCCGTGGTGGATGGAGACTTCCTCAGTGACACACCCGAGGCCCTCATCAATGCTGGAGACTTCCACGGCCTGCAGGTGACTAGTGGCTGGACGGGGTGGAGCTGACTCCTCTAGGCCTGTTCTCCCATACCCCACACCCCCAGGGACCCAGGCATGAAGGCACCTCAAGACCCAACTCCCAAAGGCCTGGGCTTCTGGCCCCTGGCCAAACCCTCCTCCCTGAGACCTCAGATCCCAGGGTGGTCAGTGGGACAGAGAGAAAAGGAAACGTGGGTACATTTTCTCTTTCTCTCTGTCCCTTCCCCAACCTTATAGTCTCTTCCTCCGTGGTTCTGGGTCTATAACTATTGCTCTCTTTGGCTCTTTGTCCATCTGTTTCTGTCTGCCTGTCTGTCTGTGCCCCCCCCACCCCGCCCCCTTCCTCCATCCTGTCCCCCCAGGTGCTGGTGGGTGTGGTGAAGGATGAGGGCTCCTATTTTCTGGTTTACGGGGCCCCAGGCTTCAGCAAAGACAACGAATCTCTCATCAGCCGGGCCCAGTTCCTGGCCGGGGTGCGGGTCGGGGTCCCCCAGGCGAGTGACCTAGCTGCCGAGGCTGTGGTCCTGCATTACACAGACTGGCTGAACCCTGAGGACCCCGCACGCCTGAGAGAGGCCATGAGTGATGTGGTGGGCGATCACAACGTCGTGTGCCCCGTGGCCCAGCTGGCTGGGCGACTGGCTGCCCAAGGTGCTCGGGTCTATGCCTACATCTTTGAACACCGTGCGTCTACGCTCTCCTGGCCCCTCTGGATGGGGGTGCCCCATGGCTATGAGATCGAGTTCATCTTTGGGCTCCCTCTGGAACCCTCGCTAAACTATACCGCCGAGGAGAGAACCTTTGCTCAGCGACTGATGAGATACTGGGCCAACTTCGCCCGCACAGGGTCAGTAGTACTGAGGGGAGGAGGGCCTCCGGGAGCCAGAGAAGCAAGAGCAGGGGACATGGGGAGAGGCAGACAAGCAGAGACAGGGCCAGAGAGGGGGGGAAAGTTCACAAAAAAAAGGAGACTGGAGAGGACAGCAGGGAGGCAGCTCCTGAAGAGACAAGGACAGAGGGGGAGGGAAGCAAAGAAAAGAGAGACAAGGAGACAAAGGAGTTACCATAGTACTGAGGAGCTTGAACTGTACAGAACTGGATTCAATCGGCCCAGTGGTGATTGTGGCAGCTGTGTGGCATGCACATATGCATGGATACTCACACACCAGTTTACCTGTCCCAAAAAGGGGACCGGAAATCGGACAGCACATGGGTGTTGGCAAAAGCAAACAAGATGTTTGTAAGAAAGAGGACTGGGCCTGGTTACATGGTAAGGGCTCAGTTTTTTAAGTGGAGAAACAAAGACAAAGATGGAGGGGTAAAACAAGGAAAGGCAGAAAGAGGGAGGGCAGAGGAAAGGGTTGGCTCCAGATGATGGGGGATTCGGGAGACCAGAAGGAGGGCCGAAGGCGGTGGGAAGGAGGGGATGGGCTCTCCACGGAGCAAAA